CCGGTTTCGCCGCTACTGGTTTGGCAGCTGTAGCCGGCTTGACCGGTTGTGGTGGTGGTGCTGAGCCGGCCGCCGGTTTCGCAGCGGTTTGAACCGGTGCACTCTTTGCTCCTGCTGTATCTTTTGATCCCGATGCCGTCACCTGCACAGTGCCTTCATCCCGCTTGTCCGCTGTTTTCTTCACTTGCTGCACCGTGTCCTCTATCTTCTGGTTAATCTTCTTCTCTATTTCACATTTGCCCCCGGGCACGCGTCCGTCCGTCATTTCCTGTAACAACTGTTTCACCCGAGGATAGAGAAGATCTTGCGTCCAGTACAGTATTCTGCGCATGAGCTCAGAGTTCGTCGGTGTCGCCCCGGCCTCTTCATTACATGTGTGATCACTTTCCTCCCCGTCCTTGGCTGCCCAAGCACACGTTTGTCCTGTGCCGTGTGTAGTTCCGGTGTTGCCTCGTGGCAAACCTGCACTCCATTCGTGTATGCGCTTCTGTAGGCCTGTTCCAATACGCGTCGATCCGAATATTACGTCCCCATAGTCCCTACCCTCACACACCCCTGGCTCATATTGCTTTTGCCCTGGTGTATCCGTTTTCTCCAGTTCTGCCTTAACTTTCTTTATTACTTCCTGGTGGTCACTAGTTTGCCCATACACCTGTACTAAAACTTCAGTCGCAAGTGTACACCTCAAATATTCATGGAACATCGTGCGCGTTCTCTCGCGTACTGCTCTTTTGTTCCACGTGCCATTTTTTGCATTGTAAGTATATCCTCTTATGTAGAGCATAATGTTCACAATTTCCATACACCTGCTTTTGCATGTAGCCACATTTGTATGCGTCCCGTCATATATAATTCCACAAATACCGGCGTTCTGGCCGCTATGTTGGTTGATGGACCGTGTTACTTCTGGGAAGATAATGTTGACCTCGCGCATTAATTGTGTCTGCGAGTGGAACAATCGATGTATGCGTGTGCACATTCTTTATGCCCATGTGCTCGTAAATTCATGTGCATTTAATCATACTGCATTGCAGATGCATGCATGCATTTTGTACTGTATCTGCGCGCACCATACCTCCCTTACGTTGGCGACATGTATATAAGTAGTCTACGCACATATACAGGTTCCAAATGAGCATGTGTATATATTGCTCTCCAAACTGCACCATTGTTCATCATTCGGAATGTTGTGTACAATTCAACTCACCCAATATCCGTGTCCGTTCGTGATCTTCATGTGCTTTAGATAATCCTCCCATGCCGCTATAAAATCCCTTATGTCCTTCTCATAGTTGCCGTTACCCATAGTGAACACAGTTTATTCCTCTTCTTAAAAAAAGAAGTACGACTACTACTACTACTACTACACACCACTCATTAACAACAACAAAAAAAAAAAAAAAAATATACACACACCCCGTTCTCCGTCAACGCCGTCTCCGTCAACGATTCTCCGTCAACGCTTCTCTCCGTCAACGCTTCTCCCGTCAACTCCTCTTCCGTCAACGCTTCTCCGTCCACGCCTCTCCCGTCAACGCTTCTCCCGTCAACGCTTCTCCGTGTCACCCCGTCTCCGTGTACGATTCTCCGTCACCGCGTTCTCCGTCAACGCCTCTCTCGTCAACGCCTGTCCCGTCAACGCCGCTCCCGTCAACGCTTCTCCCGTCAACGCCTCTCCGTCACCCCGTTCGTCGTGAACGCTTCTCCGTCAACGTCTGTGCGCGTCACCCCGTCTTCGTCACCCCGGGTCTCCGGCACACGTCTCCGTCCACGCTTCTCCGGGTCACGGCACTGCGTCAACGCTCTTCTCCGTCACCCTGTCTCCGTAAACGCCGTCTGCGTCACTATTACGTGCACGGTGGTGGAAGGCGTGATAATTACACAAACTACTACTTGTTTTCTTCCTTCCGCGGTCCTGCCGACCGTCTTCAACGTCTGTAGAAGAAAAAAAAAAAAAAAAGTTACAGTACACTACCGTACTCAAACAATACGCGTCATGAATAACGCCCGCTCCCGCCTGTCTACACCGGTGTCCACTAAACGCCTGTCACACACACTGTCTCTCTGTGTGCGTACACCTAAAACCCCGCAGTAACAACATCAAATGCTTCTGCCGTCGTTGCCGTCGTTGCGGGTCCTTGTGCGCCTTCCCACATAATATGTGTGTTCCTTCCTCCGTCCCTGCGCTCTGAGGTCCCTCACTGAATCCCTCAATGGAAATCCTTCCCTCGAACCGCTTTACTCGGCTACTTCGTCGAATCGTGTACCCGGCCACGTTTGCTCGGAGAGACAATCTCTCCTGCTGCTGGCACGCGGCCACGTTTGCTCGGCTACGTCGTCGAATCCTTCTTACACTTGGCCGCGTTGGTCGACGCGGGTGCTCGGAGAGACAATCGCTCCCTCCTTTCTTACACTCGGACAATCCTTCGTCGAATCGTTGTTACACTGGGCTACGTCGACGACAATGCGGTTGACGCGGCCGCGTGTGCGCGGAGAGACAATCTCTCCTTATACTCGAATGCGTATGCGCATGCTATATTTGTTGTGCACTATGCCCTTAGAATGCACGTGCGCATGTGTTAATAATTAACTTCACATAAAGGAGAATACTGCCCCTGCATATTATTCATTTAAATGTACATTTTATATGCATGTAACCGGTACGCACCTGTGCCTATGGTCATATTAAAAGAAGTGGACTACACAGAAAAAGAGCAAAACAAAGCACAAGTAAGCAGAAGGAAGCAGAACAGAGCAGAACAAAAAAAAAAGACGGTATAGAATAATGCAAACAAGAAATATATTATGTATATCACATAATGAAGTAAAAGTGGTGTACGGTTAGCAGGCGGTATGTCCCATGCGTATGCGCCGTCATCCTAATGTCGCATATTATGTAATAAAGCATCCACATATAACTCCGTCTGCTGCAAACTGCGTTCGAGCTCGCACTGTTCTATGACGGCCGCGAGGAGTAGCATGCACAATTTGGGGGCGGTTAACGGTTTTTTCATGTACAGTTGCGGATGCAGTTGCGAGCGCGGTAAATCTCTCACTCGTAGCATATGTTCTGCGGCCATTACCTTTTCCACTTCTACGTGTGTTTCAACTCCAGGTACGTCGCCTGTTGCCGGCACTGTCTGCTCCTGTACACTATTCAACAAATGTTTAAACCACTCCTCCGCACCATATATATGCATAAGCGCATGTTGTTGCGCTACCCATTCTTTCCACAAGTCCAGTTTCTTCATCGGCAGGGTTGCCGCTTCACCGAACTCACTGTGCCCGTATACTACGTTGTCTTCGTTTGTCGCCATGTGCTCACGCAGGTATTGTTTCCATTGCGATTTCAATTGCAGAAACCACGGCTGCGTCGTGCACGCCCGCAAAAGGTATTTGTTGCGGTCAATCCAGTTAATCCATTGGGTGCACGCCGCCGTCTCGTCACCGTGGGCGGAAGTGCGAGTTTGTTCATGGTCTAACTGTATGGATTCCATACAACTCCATGGATCGGGGTCATCTTCATTATGTGGACAAGGATCCGTTTCTAACCGTATGGTTTGCATACAACTCCATGGATCGGGATCATGTGGTGGACAAGGGCCCGTTGCGAACTGCATGGTTTGCATACAACTCCATGGATCGGGGTGCTCTTTGTTAGGTGGAGATGCGTGCGTGCCTTCGGTGTCAGTGGATGGATCCACGGTGGATGAAACATTGTGCCCTGATAAACCCTGCTTTGTGGTAGACACACCCACGATATTGTTATTCGTTTCCTGGTCCCGCATCAAATCCTGCGCAAACTCCTGCAATACAATCTGCCAATAGTCCTCTTTGACGTTTTCCCACTCGGTTGCTTCACATTCGTGGAGCACTTCTAGATGTAGTTCAATGATCGTGCGGTGATTCACGCGTGGATGACGTCGTCGTCGTGCGGATGTTGACGCAGGTTGCGTAACCATTTTGTACCCGTAATCGGGTGGGGGCTCGCCGCGTTGTAGATGCTCCAATATTTCTTCGTCGAGTGGCGGTGACGGGACGTCACGAACGGTGCGATATGTTCGTCGTCGTTTTGTTCCGAGGTACGCAAAGTACTAAGCAGAAAAAAAAAGAAACAGGACGATGTAGAAGAGTGCATTTGTTGGCATCATCATGCAAGGGAGCTCCGTAGAAACACACTGCTATGGTACATATGAGGGATGCGCATTGCCACTCGGTTATATTTGTGCGTTGTGCGTGCTTGTGGCTGTGCTTACCTTCCAAAGGGAATAACCAAGAAGGGCGACGGTGACGGCAGCGACGAACAAAAGGATCGGGGTAGTGGCGGTAAAGACGTCGGCGGTTAGGTCAGGGAAGAAGGGACCACCGGTCTCACCCGATTCGCTTGGTTTTATAGTTTTTATATCGGGTGTAGGACCTGGTCCAAAGTGTCCATCGGATAGATTTTTGTTTGGTTTAAAGGGTATTTTGAGCTTAAGATCACACCTCTTATCAGAAGGGTTCTGTGTGCACTTTAAGTTATCGCCGCCATAATCCTTCAGTGCATTTTGTCCACCACCGTTGCCATCAGCCTGGTTATCACCGGAGGGTACTGGTCCTATTGCCCATAAGTTGCTACTGTTTTGTACTGATCCCAAGCCTTCCGTGTCATTTGCAGTGGAACCTGTTGCGCCACCAGCCGGATGCGCACTCTGCCCGCTCGGTTCCTCGGTGGATGTTGAAGCAGGATGTGTGCTTCCATGCTTACCAGTATCATCAACTGGTGTATTCTCCTGTGTAGTACTCACTGAAGCACCCTTCTCTTCGGTATTGTCGTGAACACTAATATCCGATTTCTGCGGAGGTGGCTCTGGCCCCGTAGCCGTAGTTTCACTTTCCGTGGAATCAACCGTTGTCTCACTACCTGTAGGTGCAAGTAAGAACGGTAAGTATGTGGAAAGAACCTAAAGTGTGTTAGTTGGATTGTTGACCATGGTTGCGGTCGCTCATGGTTGACCACACGTTCTGTCTCTGATGGTGGTTGGTCGATGTCGGTTGGTTGACCACACGGTTGACGGCGGTTGTCCGTCGCTGCACGACATCACCGTCGCTGGATGGTTGGCCACACGGTCGGCAACCGATGGTTGGCACCATTGGTGCCATGGGGAAGAAGTATAGAACAAAGTAAAGTTTTGTGCGGTGCATGCTTGTTGGTTGACCACACGGTTGACATCGACCTGGGGCACGGCGGGGCAGGGCAGTGGGGCAGGAGACGGACGGCGGCATGGTTCACGAGGGTATGGGGGCACGGGGGTAGGGTGGTTACGGTACCACTCCGGGAACAAGACTCTCTCTCTTTCTCGCCCACAAACACACACACAACACACACAGTGTATGTGTGTGGACGTCTGTCGGTCTGCATCTACGTCGACGTCTACCGGTCGCTACATGCCGCTTTCGCTCATTCGACGTTTGGTTTCTCTCTCTCCGTGTTGTCTCTCCCTGACTCCGTGTGGTGTCTCCGGCAAAGTTGTTTCCTTTTTTGTTTTTTTTTTTTTCACTACTGTTATTAGTGCATATGTGTTGCGTGCACACTGCTAGATTCACCTGTGTCTGAACTTGGGTTAGGACTAGTGGCCACCTTCTCCTGTTCCTCTTGTTCCAGGAGTTTTGTGACTTCTGGTGTCATGCCTAATGCCTCATCCGAGGTAGTCGCACAACTAATGGAGACACCTGGAGATGGGCCGTTACTACCAGGACATGTCGCCTTACCTGGAGATGTTGCTGCCGGTGCTGTAACTGGGGTAGTGTCGTCCTTCTTAGGCGGCTGTGGAGCTGCGGGTAGTGGTGATGTGGTTGCTTGATCCTCTGTTCCACTAGGCCGGCCTGGTGGTGCCGGAGGTGGGGGTTGTGGTACGGGTCCGGCCTCTGTGTTCTTGTGTTCTGGTGCCGGTTGCGGTGGAGGTGGTTGTGGTCTGGCTGGCAAGACTGGGGATGCAGGTGCTTGTGGTTGTGATCCTGGTGCCGCTGACCCCGGCGGTTTCCCTACCGGGTCTTCTGCGCCCGATGGATCTGTTCTGCCTACGTCTGTGTTTCGTGCTCCTTGCGACGAGGGGTCCCCTTTATTTCCTGTACCTGCACCTGTTGGTAGTGGTGTCGTTGACGGTTTTGTTGTCTGAGAGCCCCCAGGTTTTGTGTCCTGCCCCGTGTCCTTTGTCTTGTCATGCCCGGACCCCTCTGTGTTCGGTGCCGCCTCCGTCGCTGCAATAACAAAGGAAAGAAGTGTAGATGATACAAAAAAACGACACCAGTGGTACAGAAAGAAGGGGCCGGGACGGTTCGGTCAGGTAGCGGCACCGTATGATCCGGCTCGGTGCAGTGGGTCGATGCATGGATCGAGGTAAGACTCGGTGGACTGCGCACTCGGTGAACTGGGTTGCGATGGTAGCAGTACAACTTTTATTTGTCGCCGTCATCTCGTCCGTCATCTCGTCTGCGGTGCGTCGTCGCCGCTACCACTGCCGTCGCCGCCGCGGGTGCGTTGTTGTTGTGGCGCCATGCGCGGTGGGCCCTACGCGCAGTCGTATCGGTAGCGGCCGCATTAGTGCTTTCTCCCATCGGTCCTTACCTGTCGGTGCCCCTGGCGGTTTTCCCTTGTCTCCCGGTTCTACCGGTGTTGCCGACGATGCTGTAGGTGCTGGGTTGGCCCCGGACGATTCCCCACTACCGTGATGTGACGGTCCTGGTGGTGATGGCGACGGTGTCTGTACCGTACCTGTTCTGTGTTTCCCGAGTTCACTGCGCACACCAAGTTTCGCTTCAGCCGCCGTTATCTTTCGCATTATATCGGCCACTACTCCGTCCTGTTCCCTCTTTGCGCCTAATTCTTCCGCTAGTTGCTTCTTCTTCTCCATTTCCAAATCCTTCCCTTCCTTCACTAACTCCGTGATTACTGGGTTATCCTCCTCCTGAAACATTCTAACAGCTGGTACCATGCTTGCCTTCTGTGCATCCGTGCTGTCGTTGTTACATGTTCTTTTCCCCCTTGCTGCTAGTTTGCCTGCCCCATTTTTTATGCTCCAATCCCTTATCCAGCCTGCCATAGTTGCTGCAACAAACTTCGATCCAAGCATGAGGCTCCCATAATTTATGTCCGTGCATATTTTACTTCCGTCCGCATATCCACCTAAGCCTCTCCACACGGGCATTTGTGTCGACACCTCTGCAATAATGTCCCCTGCTTTACAATTATTCTTAAACAATTCTGCCATAGCAATGTTCCCAAGCATACACCGAACATAACGCTCCAATTGCTCATCCCCTGCAAATATACCCTGTCTTCGCCATGTGCCGCCAGCATTATCTATCTTATCCATAAATAGAAATATGTTGACAATACGCCGGCATACAACGAATTGCGCCATATGTCTCGTCAACGTCCATGTTGGGTATGCTGCTTTACATACGGATGTGTTGAAATCATCCTTCCTGTTTATACTGCCTGCTAATACTTGGAAAAGATCGTGTATATCAGTCCATAGTTGCTCCTGCAGATATAGGAATACAATACGTTTATTACCACATATACCACTGTCGCCTAGGATTCGCGCTCAGTTTTTATTTTCGACTGTACATAGCCCTATTTGCCCTTGTGTCACGCGTCCTCGTCCGTTCTCTTTCTTGCTGTCGCACTCTGCTCCTTGCGTCTTACACTGTAGTCTTTGTCCGAGCTCATTTTTCGTCGTTCGAACCATTTCCTAAGCTGCTGTGTGAAATGTGCCACATTGCCTTTATTACTTGCCATGATACAATAATTCCCAAATATCAATATTACGCCTATACTTGGGAGACATCCACATCACTCGAACTGAATAAGGGCTACTGCATAGAATGAACCGTACCCAGTATTATGATTATGCTAATAACATGATACTTTTGGAAATATTTGCTTTTACAAAATAGTTGCCATAATCTCACTTTACACTTCTTCCAATTTGTAACAACATAATCCACATTATTGAAACAAACAAAAAATAGAAAAAACACTACACACCACGCGTCATGAATACACCCCCGCCCCCCTTTCTACACCGTTCTCCACTAAGCGCCGTCACACACACTGTGGCTCTCTGTGCGTACACTAAAGCCCGTGTACACTAAACCGCAGTATAACAACATCAATGCGTCCTCCGTCGTGGCCGCGTTCCGTCCGTGGTTCGCCCTCCCGCAAATAATATGTGTGTTCGTTCCTGCGCCACACGTCTCGCTGTGGCCCCGCTCTCTGATACCTCTGTGGATCCGTAGTGGGCTACTTCGTCGAACCCTTGTTGCACTCGGCGACTTCGTCGAATCGTGGTTACACTCGGCTACAATGCGGTTTACGCTGCCGCGTTTGCTCGGAGAGACAATCGCTCCGTATACTCGAATGCGTATGCACATTCTATATTTGTTCTGCACTATACCATTAGAATGCACTTGCTCATGTGTTAATAATTAACTTCACATAAAGGAGAATACGACCCCTGCATATTATTCATGTAAAGCTACATTTTATATGCATGTAACCGGTACGCACCTGTTCCTATGGTCATGTTAAAAGAAGTTGACTACACAGAAAAAGAACAAAAAAAAACAAAAGCACAAGTAACCACAAGTCAGCAGAACAGAGCAGAACAAAAAAGGAATGTATGGAATAGTGCAAACAAGACATATATTATGTATATCACATAATGAAGTAAAAGTGGTGTACGATTAGCATGCGTTCTTGCCCATTCATATGCCCCGTCATCCGAATGTCAGAGCTTGTCCAATAGGTCATCCACATATAACTCCGTCTCCTGCAAACTGCGTTCGATTTCACATTCTTCGATTATCGACGCCAGCAGCAGCATCCACAATTTGGCAGTTAACGGTGTTTTCATATGAGGTGACCGATGCAGTTGCGACCGTGGTACATCGCGCACGTGTAGCAAGTGTTCTGTGCCCATTACTTTTTCCATTTTGAAGTGTTTTTCTAGTCGTGGTACTTCGCCTTTTTGCGGTACTGCCGCCTCCTCTACATTATTCAACAAATGTTGAAACCACTCCTCCTGGCCATACATACTCATTTGCCGATGTTGTTGCGCTACCCATTCTTTCCATGCGTGCTTCTTGCTTTCCATGGTTGCCGCTGCACCGAGTGTACGCTGCCCGGATACTCCGTTGTCTTCGTGTTCCTCCATGTGCGCACGCAGGTATTGTTTCCATTCCGATTTGAGGGTTTGAAACCACGGCTGCGTGGTGCACGCCCGCAAAAGGTGCTTGTTGCGGTCAATCCAGTTAATCCATTGGGTGCACTCCGACGTCACGTGGTTGGGGTTGGAATGAGCATTCTGTTGTGCATCTAACTGTATGGTTTCCATACAATTCCATCGGTCCTGTTCGTTAGGCGGACAACGGTCCGTTGCTAACTGTATGGTTTCCATACAACTCCATGGATCGGGGTCGTGTTCATGCGGTGCAGAAGGGTGCATTTGTAATTGTATAGTTTCCATGCAACTCCATGGGTCGTGGTCATCTTCGTTAGATGCAGAAGGGTCCGTTGCTAACGGTATAGTTTCCATACAACGCCATGGATCGGGGTCCTCGTCGTTAGGTGCACAAGGGTGCGTTGCGAACTGTATGGTTTCCATACAACACCATGCATCAGGGTCATCAGCAGTAGGTGGAGAAGTGTCCATTGCTAACTGTATGGATTCCATACAACTCCATGGATCGGGGTCGGGTTCATTCGGTGGACAAGGGTCCGTTTGTAATTGTATAGTTTCCATACTACTCCATGAATCGGGGTCATGTGCGTTAGATGCAGAAGGTTCCGTTGCTAACTGTATGTTTTCCATACAACTCCATGGATCGGGGTCGTGTTCATGCGGTGGACATGGATCCGTTCCTGCCGAGTCAGTGGAGGAAACATTGTTTCCTGATAAAGCCTGCGTTGTGGTAGAAACAACCAAGGTATTGTTATTCGTGTCCTCGTTCTGCATCAAATCCTGTGCAAACTGCTGCACGACAATCTTCCAATAGTCGTCGTTGACGTTTTCCCATGCGGCCGTTTCGCATTCGTGCAGCACTTCTAGATGTAGCTCGATGATCGTGCGCTTATGCACGCGTGGTGGGCGTCGTCGTCGTGCGGCGGGCAATCTGCCGGGCCGCCTATCCCTAACCATGGTGTACCCGAAATCGGGTGGCGGCGGTGCGCCGCGTTGTAGATGCTCCAATATTTCTTCGTCGCGTGGCGGTGACGGGACGTCACGAACGGTGCGATATGTTCGTCGTCGTTTTGTTCCGAGGTACGCAAAGTACTAAACAAAAAAAGGGGAGTAAAGTGGAGGGTGAGGACGGTAGGATAAAAGGAATGAAAGCGGATGTAGGAGTATATGGGTTCAAACGATCATATATTGGAGCCGGTAGGGATGTTCTGAGGTATAAACATGCTTCACATGCGGGATTGCGTGATTGTCGTGTATGCTTACCTTCCAGAGGAAGAACGCAATGATGCCAATACTAACAACCGCGGGAATGATCGCGGGGGTGTAGGGCTTGACGTCTTCCCGTGTGATGCCGGGCGGAACGGAAGGGTTGATGGCGGTATCCGCGGGTAAATTCTCTGGCGATGGTGGCTTTATTTCACTATTCTCATTACGCGTTAGTCCCGTTGAGCCAGTGCCGGAGGAACCTGGATTCACAGTGTCCGCGGATCCGGGTGTGGAGGAACCAGGGGGTTGGGCCCCATTAGAACCAGGTCCGGAGGATGAGGAACTTCCACTTCCTCCCCCTCCACCACCACTACTACCTCCTCCACCACCACCAACTGCACCACCAGAGCCACCATCCGGGGAAGTACCAGCAGCAGTCGGACTGCCGGCGGCGCCGCTGCTGGTTGCGCCCGCCTGATTGGGATGCTGGGATGGCGTTGTTGGTTTTGGTTTGGGTGGATTGAGAGGAGGGGGGTCATCGTTACCGCCATCAACGACGCCATCGCCTAAACATGTGGTGAATGGGGAGACAGGGAAAGGGAAGGCAGAAGGATGTGATGAAACTGACGTTTTCAGCGGTGGTTGTTGATTGACTACCGTTGACCACATGGTTGGCACCATGCTGCCACGGGGATGGAGCCAGGCGTCGGATGGCAGGAGACCGGCCGGGGCACACGAGCCGCACGCGGGTACGGGGATAGGGTGCCACCCCGGGGAAAAGACTGTCTCTCTCTGCCACACACAACACAAACAACACACACACAGTGCGTGTGCGTCTACCTGTCGACGTCCACATCCAGCGGCTGGCCCATCGCTCGGCCGCTGACTGCGCCGCTCACTCTCATTCGACGTTTGGTTTCTCTCTCTCCGTGTGGTCTCTCCGGAAATGTTGTGTCTTTTTTTTTTTTTTTTTTGGTTTTTTCCGTTGTTTTTTGGTTTTTTGTTCTCTCTTTTATTCTTTTGTCTGTGTTCGTGTATGCAAAGCCCCAGTTATGCTCTTATTTCTCTGAACGTATGTGTGTGTTTCATAGCACCTATACCTGGGGGTATGGTCCAAGTGGGAGTTGAGGTCCCTGTACTTATGCTAATCCAGCTGGTATCTCCTGGACGAATCACGTTTACCAGGTGCTCACCCTCGAATCCGCCCGTATTACTAATACGTGCAAGTCGTTCGTTCTCCTGTTCGTCAGACTCCCTCAGTATCTTCTCCACATCATCCTCACCTTGTGAATTCCCCGATGGAGCGGGCGCTGCAGGACGTGCCGGTGGTGGCGGTGGTGCCGGTGCTGGTACCGCGTCCTCAGCGGCTAAGTCATGTGTTGTTCCTACTTCTGCTCCTCGTGGTGACGGTAACGAAGCTGTGTCCGCCGTCGTGTTTGTCTTTTCCGGCGTAGCGCCTGAGGCCGCCTGGTCCTTGCTCTTCTTTTCTGCAGTAAGGAGACCGGAAGAAAGATGGACGAAAAGATGATAAAAAAAAAAAAGCCACACAAGTGGTACAGAAAGAAGGGGCCGGGACGGTTGGGTCGCGTAGCGGCAGCAAGCGCACGGTGTCACAGAGAGCGCACGTTGTTAGAACAGGACAAAGACAGGAAGAAAGGGGGGCGCACTCGGTGGACTGCGTACTCGGTGAACTGGGATAGATGGTAGCAGTACAACTTTTATTTGTTGTTGTCGTCATCTCGTCAACCGCTAGGCGCCGCTCCATCCGTGGTCGCCGCTACCGCTGCCGTCGTGGCTGCCGTCGTGGCTGCCGTCGTGGCCGCTGTGCGGTTGCGCACCGCTATTGCTCCCCCGTGCATTGTTGTTCCCCCCGCGTGTTGTGTTGGCGGCCGCATTCGTACGGTCAGTAGTCGGGGCCGGCCGTGTCGAGCCGTGTTGGTGTGCGGGGCGTATTAGTGCTTTCTCCCATCGGTCCTTACCTACGGGTCCTGATGTGGCCGATTTGGGCGATTCTTTGCCGTCTACTTTGCCGGATGGTGCTGGTGTAGCGCTTGCGAAAGAGTTCGATACTTTGGCCTTACTTGCGTCATCCTGCGGATCGCTACGGGAGACAGCTTCGATAGGCTCCATGCATGCGCCATTCTCCTGCGCGCATTGCGCTACTGCTGTCTTTACCTCCTCAACTATGGTCTTCAGTTGTTGGCCTAACTTACGTATAGCTTCTTTCTCCTTTTCCCTCAGTTCTGTGTTGTCATGCATGGTATGTGTACCCGGTGTTACCCTGTCAAGTTCTCCTAAGCTTTTCGTACATATGCTTTCTATACCCTGGCCTCCAATTTTTTCAGTCAAGCTCTTGTTGCTCTCTAACCATGCCTGAATCTTTTTTGCCATGTCGAATTCCTGTGTTTGTATGTTTTCAAACACTCCGTGTCCACATTTTCCCTGCTTAATTAATCCACCCATAGATTCCTCCATCTGTTTCACAGTGTACCATGCATTATCTATTCCCATTGTACTTTTGCATGGAGATGCCAGCAATATGTACATAAATATATTTACTATTGCGCATCTTATATATTCCTTCAACGCTGCATTATTAGGGTCGGTAGTGTGCGAACCGCCGGACTGCGTACCCCACCCATTCAGGAAATATAATGCTCCTGTCATGAGTGTGCACATAATTCTGTCTCCCGCGTATGTTACCCTTCGCGGGTTACCATCAGGATTGCTTTCGTGGTTATAATACGCATTCTCACAGTTCACACCCAGCGTCACCATGTCCATATCTTCCATGTATTGCACAAACTGCCCTAACTCCACTTCTATATCTTCCCACAGTTTGTGCTGCAATTAATAGAACACATATACATATATGCATAGTGTACAACGTGCGCGTCCTCCTTTACACTTAATTCACCTGTGAATACATTGCTGTGCACAGTGCACTAGGCGTGCCCGCACTATCATAACAGCGAGCACCGTGCATACTCATTCACATATGGAACGCAGCTGCTCTCCATAAACTGCCTGCCCATTATGCATAAGCTAAGTAAGGTGCACTGCGTTTAATATCGTGCCAATCACTCTTGGTTACCACATAACCCTGGGGGCCCATGTGTGCACCCCGCGCCCGCACGTATTCGGCCAACACCTGGGCTAGGTGCCTTGCTGACATATTAGTATTATTGTATTAGTATTCTCTACTTGGTCCAGTGCCTTGGAAATACTATTATGCTACATATATCACATGTAAACCCATCTAACATGCTCTTCCGCAGTATGCTAATATTCTACTAAATAATTATTTTTCGTCTACTTCTACAACAATATTTACGTGAACTGCTGGTATCATAGGTACTGGTGCTCACTATAATGCAGCCGTACACTATTTATAGTTGCGCTAAGGGAGAACAACATCGAGAAGAAAGAAAAAAATAAAAGGATTGAATAACAAGAAGAGAAAGAAAAAAAAAAAAAGGGAAAAAAAAAAAAAGTACTACTACACTAGCGTACGCACGCAACCCGTCATGAATATACACCCCTTAAAAACAACATCGCGTTGTGCACTAAACGCCTGTCACACACACTGTCTCTCTGTGCGCGTACACAACAAAACCGCAGTATAACAACATCAATACTGCTGCCGTCCTTGCCGTCCTTGCCGTCGCTGCCGTCACACCGTCTCCATTAACGCCTCTCCGTCAACGATTCTGCGTCAACGCCTCTTCCGTCAACGCTCTCTCCGTCAACACTTCTCCGTCACCCCGTCTCCGTCACCCCGTCTCCGTCACCGCGTTCTCCGTCAACCAAGTCGCCGTCAACCCCGTCTCTGCGTCAACGCCGCTCCCGTCAACGCCTCTTGCGTCAACGCCTCTCCCGTCAACGCTTCTCCGTCAACGGTTCTCCGAGTCACCCCGTCTCCGGGTCACACCTTGTCCGTCAACGCCGTCTCTCCGTCAACGCTTCTCCCGTCACGCGGCCACTTCGTCGTATCCGTCTTGCACTCGGACCGGCCGCGTTGG